AACCTATGTATTCATTTTGTACCAATCTTGTGAAACAAAACAACCGCACTTTGACGTAATTGTAATAATTTTGGCAAAATTGATTTAATTCCGATTCAGGAAAACTGTTTAAAAAGCTTGTCACGCGATCAACCAATATAAAGCTTTAGTTTATTCTGAACCTATTTGTATAATAAGTAAAAACAAAACAGTTTTGCTTTGGACCACTATTTATAATTTGAAACGCAGCTTGCCACTTCCAGCACTTTTATGTAATTATGTAATTATATTATCATATCATTATTGTAACATATTCGTACTCCATGTCTGTTTATTGCTTACTGGATAGAAGTCGCTATGAACTTGAACGGTAAGTGCCTTTATATATTATGTAATCACTTATGTATGCATAATGTGAATAAGAGCAATTTTTGTATTTATACGTATTATCTGTGATGTAATACAAATCTGTATTAAATGCTTTGTATTATACAAGACGTCATACGGCTTTAGGACACGTAGAGAAAGTACTTTAAATACTGTAGATAGAAGGTTGAAGCAAACTTCATGTATACATTATATGGAAAAATGGAATAAGAGGAGTTACGTCAAAAATGTGTATTGCTCCATTAGATACAGAAAAATATAACCCACATCCACTCCAATTCTTGTAACTCTATTCACTAATATTATAGGTAGAGTTTATTTTATTTTATTTTATTTATTGTGGAATGACAAACAATTGTACATGGAGAGTTATACAGAATAAGAATATCGGTTTAGCTAATTGTACAATCAATAACATCATCCACAGATTACTACAAAAATATTAAATTTTCAAATGAAGGATAATTATAGTGTATTTTTTTAAAGTACAATGCTGACAAAGGAAATAAGTTTAATAAACAAACCAACTTAATAACATTACTAAGTACGCACAATTAACAAAAAAAGTAACTGTCTTATGCCATTCTTCCATGAGGGGTCCACTTTTAAAAAGTTGCTTACCTGATCATTAATATAAGGATTGTAATAAGCATTACTGCCTTCCAGTTTTGAAGGGTAAGGGTGCTGGTGAAATTTCACGCATATGAGACGTGTCAACTTTATGTCTCGGGATGACGGGCGCAGTGTCCCTCAGGTTTTACGGTTTAAAACTCTGAGTGGCATTACAGCCGTTACGGATAGTTCGTCCTATCACTTGATATCGTTTAAAAAAATCATTCTGCAATAATACTTAATTTAATTGAAGTTGCGTCAATAGCTCTTAAATTGAGAGCAAGTTGAAACAATAAAATTTAATATTGTTCAATCTCCCTACTGGTAAATGTTACAGGCAGCAAGCGAGAGCTCATCACGACGGCCAAGGCTATCGCCGAGGCGTCGGAGGAGGTCACTCGGCTCGCAAAGAAGTTGGCTATGGAGTGCACCGACAAGAGAATCCGGACTGTGAGTATTCTATAGGCATTTTTATATCCGTCTATACTCTCATATTAGGTAGGTTGTGCAGTGAGGTAGTTGGGATGTCATCCTGGTAGCGACATATAGTAGAAACAGGAATAATTTTAGATAGTGTGTTTATTCGTTCATGGTGCAGATATAAGTGAATTAATCATTAAATTACTATATAAAGAATCTTATGCCTACTCAACATTTCCTTCAATATGCAATCCAGTGACCTATTCGACACATTACAATACATCCGTCCGGGGTGGATTATGCAGAAGTCTGTACTTCCCCCTCGTACCGGATCGGATATCCCGCTCTCTCTTTCTGGTGTAATCGTAGACTCGTCGGCATTAGAGGGCTTTATGCAGACATTCTTTCGCGCTTGATACGGCAATCGTGAAGAAAACGCTCTATTCAATAAGTGCTTTACATATGCCAATGATTTTTTTTTATATCAACTGAATTAAATAGAACAAGTGTAGTATAGGATACACATTGATCAAATCGACCCCTCCTACGAAAAGTATCGTATGTCGAAATTGCCATATTTATTGGGGAGCGTTTTAAAGATAATATTTCACTGAATAGAGCTCAAGGCGTGACTTTAGCATTTCTCAGTTTTATTCGGCGAAGCTCGTTACTCACATAGAGTGATCATCTAAACGACATCTAGGATTTTATAATACTCTATGGGTCGTATTCTAGAACTCTACTCAATGCTCAAGTCAGGATTTGAGTATGGTTTAAAGCATTCGAAATCACACTCAAGTCCCTGCTATTAGGGTCGTATTTCCAGTGCTTGTGTTTCAATTGCAATCCTGACTTAAGCATTGAGTAGAGTTCTAGAATACGACCCTAAGTGTTCAATATTGATGCCAGATCAAGACATCGTATATTTTTGAAATTCCCGCTCAGTAATTCGTTTCTAATGTCATTTGAGAAAACGAGATGTTCTGGTTGGCTAGCGCAAACGAATCAAGTTTGTGCCTACATGTACGTAAAAGAGAATGAAGATGGACGCTCACCTAACGTGCGAGCGAGCAATTGTTTTTATCAAAAATGATACATTTTGAAAGATATACCGTTTGAAGCTGCCATGGTGGTCGTATGGAATTTTATAAAAACCTAATTTTTACACCTATTTTGAGTTTTCTCACATCGTAACTGATAATATCAACGCCGGCCGGCAAGTGAAACTCATTTTTGAAGACAAGGATCAATTTGTGGTGAGTTCTGCAGGCTCAGTATTCAGGAGACCAAGTTTAGAAGATCAAGGTACGTGCGTGTAGCATATAGCAAATTGGTTCACATCGTTTTCTCAATCAAACTTACCTTATTATGGGAGAAAGAATCGTGAACTCAACACGCATCGACTGGTAATTTTACAATGCAGAACCAAGTGCTCTAATAATAATTATATTTAACCTGCTTGTTGATAATACGAGTGATGTTCAAAACACATCAATATAGTCCATCACAGTGTTTCTAACAGTAACGATCAAACTAGCGGTGCATCAGCTACAGCAGCAATTGATAGATTAAACAAAATGATAAAATGTTAGAATCCTTACAGTTTCCTAACATACCATTCCCCTCAAAATCCCCAATCTAGTTGAAATTCTCCACAATTTGGGGAATTCCCCACAAATTGGCAACACTGGGTACAATAGTCGTAATTCGCGCGCGAGCTGGTTTTTGTTTGTTAACAAATAAATAAACATTGTGAAGTAATTACGTGTTTTGAAATGATAAAAACAATTGAAATGAGCGCGTAAACTACTGTACTTGAATGTTGTGTATGTGTATTGTGCCATCTGTCAATAGAATATAGTGAAATCATTGTGTTAAATGTGGTTGGCGTGAAGAAATAACCTCAATTTTGTAATGAAAATTTTATTTCTTTCAACATATGTTAGGTATGTCATTAAAATATTCCTTATTTTATATGATAGGGAATTTATCCACTTTTCTAGTCATATATAACACATTCCATATAATTATACAGAATAAGGATTTTTTGCGACAAATCGAATTTTTTAAATTGTTTTTTTGACCTAGTGTTTTTAAAAGTTTTTTATTGCATAATACAATACTTAATTAAGATTAATTCCATGAAAATACAAAGAATTTCTCGTACACTATGTGAGTAACGATCTTTGCCGAATAAAACTGAGAAATGCTAAAGTCACGTGTTATCTTCATTTCAGTGAATTCAGAACTTTAAAACGCTCCCCTGCAAACTTGGCAATTTCGACATACGATACTTTACGTAGGAGGGGTCGAAATGACTACTTTAGTTTATGAAAAAATATATTCTGAAATAAAGCCAGTGTCTGCCGCTCTAGCCAATGTTTTTATATAACTATTTATATGGCTTTAATAATTCAATGTTTTTGATATTGTTTTTTTTTTGTTACATAATTTTTATTTGGTTGTGTACGTAAACCCATCATTGTTATTATTGTCTCCTGTATTTTGGTCTGCAGGAAGAAATTCCTGTTAGAAATATGCAGTACCTTGTGTTTGTGTCTACCTTGTTACTAAACGTGTTTTTGTTTTTTGTGTACAGTAAATGATTAAACAAAAAAAATTACCGTATTAGTACGGAAAAAAAAATTGAATACGAGCTGGGGTAGGATCAACTGTTAACTGTATCTATCACAGTTATAATATCAAATGAGAAGAGTTTTAGTTCTACATATGGTCTGTATTAATAAACAAGATTTGTGTCTGGACAGAACCTGCTGCAAGTCTGCGAGAGGATCCCGACCATCGGCACTCAGCTCAAGATTCTGTCAACCGTCAAGGCCACCATGCTGGGTGCACAAGGTACGTTTACGTATAGTGTAATGAACCTTTTATACGCAGGCTAATCGTGTAAGACCAAAGAGAGCGGGAACTATAGTAAAAACAGTTGTATAAAGGGCAATTCTAAACCTGTTAAGGTGCCTACAGACAAAACGAGCAAATTTGTAAGCAACACGATCGACATAGTATTTTTTTGTGTGATCAGCAGTTTGATTGCCTCTCTCGATCAGAAACTGTGTCTTTTCCGAGTTGATACGCATAATTGCGATTCACAACTGGCCGATCGGAAACTTTTGACATTTCAAATCGGAACAATTAACTCACAAATTGGAAAAATATAGTCGGAATAAGGTTTATCTTCTCGCTCGGAAAACCTATCTGATTTCGAGACTACCCGATCGGATAGATTCCTATTTGAATCAAAATCAGGACCCAGATACAGTCGATTATATGTGTAAAAAGTACAGTTGCTATTAATAATTTATTATTTCCTAAAATTCCTCCGGTCGGTCTATAAATTCTCTCTGTATATATAATTTGTAACACCTTGTTAACATTATGGAATAGCAATTTGGTGAAATTACAGGCACATGGGGCTTGTTAAGCCCCTAAGACCTTTGTGATTTAAAGCTCTGAGTGGTACTGCAACTGTTATGGATGGGCGTATCGTTTACCATCAGGCGCACGAGCTGTTCGTCCTGTCACTTAAGTTATTATAAAAAAAATTTAAATATTCGAACCGAGCGACATTTTCGCGTAACACGGGCTATTGTTGTCCCAACAGAGCTACTTAATGAGCTAGCAAATCTTAGGAATTGTTCTATGTGCTTGCTGCTAAGAAGCTTTTAAAGGAGATTCAGTATCGACTGAATCGTCGTTAACATCAGACGAGATTGTGATCGACTGTGTGTCTAATTTCTATAAATAAAACAAAAGGTACCAGAGAGTCTTTTGCCTTACACAATTAACCGACTGATGTAATTTTCCTCTTATTTATTGCTATTAACATAAGCCTGGTATCATTATTTTTCCACTTATTTTGTTTTAACTTTTATGCCTACTTATTTTAGAATTAAACGATATGTAAAAAGGCTTTGAAGAAATGATGAATGATAATAGCAAATACACAATTACAATTAAAAAGAACTTGTGCTCAAGAAATATTGTGATTTGTTAAGCATTTTTTATAAACAAAAAATTCTTCGACCCGGTGGGACTTGATCCCATGACCATGCTGCACGTAGCATTGCTCTTACCAACTGAGCTACAGGTCAAATGACCGAGTTTTCGAAATTCTCCTATGCATTTTTTAAACAATATTTGTTTTTGATATATTATAACAATTATTATAATAAACAAAGATCGAAACACTATAAAAAATTCCTTCAATCCGGCTGGATTGGAACCAGCAGCCTCAGGCAACCCGTGTCAGGCGCTCTACCAATTAAGCCATGCAACGAACCAGCAGATTCCGAATTTTTCTACGTGTTTGTTGCAAATCTTTGTTTATTGGTTATTAACAACTTTTTTTGCCGTTATAACATAATAAAAAAATTTAGTGTAGGTGTACCAGAATTTCATAGCATTAAATATGAACTTAAAAATATTAACTTGTCACATGTCAATTCAAAATATTACTTGTGTCAAATAGCTGTCTGCTAAACTTTTTTCACTTTAAAATAACGATTTTGTAGCTAAAATAACTGAGAATCGCCTCCAATTTTAAGCAAAAAACATTGCAGTAATGTTTATATCGCAAAATCGTCGCATTTAAGTCACATTTCACGATTTAGAAGCGGGTCTCAAATCTTGCCGATTAGTAGGAGTAAATAAACTTGATCTTTGAAATTTTAACGATGCCAAATCAATATATGTAGTGCCAATGTAATTTGCGCTTGTACTGATCGGCAAGACTACAGTGTGTAGACTACAGAGTGGTAAAAAAAAGATAAATGGCGTAAATGCCAGTTACTGCAAACGTAAATAAATCTGTCTATCACCCACAATGTAATTGATATATTTTTGTTTAATTTTAAAATGTCTCAGAAATTACTTACCTTTCTCACACACAAATTCTTCTTTGTCTTAAAACATATATGAGGTTAGATCAATTCTGGTCAATTAAGATATATGAAGCGTCTAGTACATTTTTTCCTATTATACTGATGTTGCCCACCATTGACTTACAATTATATGGACGTCGGGTCCGCGCTAAAAAGTGTCCGAACTTATAGGGCGTTAAAATCGTATACAGAGCGTCATTCACGCTTTAGTCTTCGTTTGTTCGACTGACAGCGAAGCAAGCAAAATTAGACAGTACTGCGATGACATTACAATTTAAATTCAACGTTTTAGCTTTTTCATATTCCTTTACATGTCACTACGTTTAAATAGGTTGACTTGGGACATTTTTTTCGTGGTTTTTGTATTAGACCCGTCGTTTATTTATTTGTAAGTCAATGTTGCCCACTATAAATTTAAAATTGTCTACGTGCCATCAGATTCTGGTACACCTTATATTTCTTTTTGTAACCTGGTTGAGAGATTAGTTTAAAAGAGTATGCATGCAACGTAAATATTTGAAATGTCACCAATCCTATGTGAAATGGACTATATTGAAAAACCACTTAAGTTTTGTTACCTATATTCTTTTGTTTATTTCTTTTTTTTCTGGCTAATAATTATGCTTCTTGCTTTAACAGTCGGCATGGCGGATTACAAAGGTACTTCAGCTTGTGCTCTTAATACACTTTGCTAGTTTACGTACTAATTGTGTAGCACTACATATTTTTAAAGTTAACTATTCTTTTTCGGATGTAAAACCGCGTATATTCGTTTTTTTCCAAAGAAAGCAAAGTTTTGGGCTATTCACAGCTCCCATAGTCACGGGTGACGGTACCACGTGACCTGTAAATGAAAAAAAACTAATATACGTTTTAGATCTGAAGAAATAGAATTCATTTCCAATGTACAGTTGTTGCGAAAACCTAAAACCTCAATTCGGCCTTAACATTTCATATATCAATACGTTCCATGTAAGTTTTGTATGTGAAAATACCATTTTTTGTTTTTTTAACTAAAATATTATCTTTTTTTATTTATATTAAAGGTTCCATGTTTGAAACTAAACATAACTCTAAATGATTTCTTTACTTTTAAATAGATCATACTCGTTACTTTTTTATTTGTTTTGGTAAAGTCAGTTATGTACTGCATTTTTCACATGGCACCATTAGAATTACTTTAAAATCCAATTTTGACTTCCTAGGTCAGTAATATTGTCCTACGATGCAGTAAAACCATTTCCGGAAATCTGGAATACGATATAGGAATCTGTATTATATATATATAGTAATCTATACTATATGATTAATATTTGGTGGTTTTAACAACTCTATGTCGCTCCTTGTTCACTCTATATCTATACGGGGTGAAAATTTGAAACGGAGCAGCAAGGCCAGCCACCTTAATCGTTGTAGTTACAGGAAAACGGTTCTAGATCCATGAATTTTGAAGATATTTTGATTGACATTCACAGATTTTTAAAAAATGGTACAGTCAGCAAGGTAAAAGGCAATTTTTACAATTATTTTTATGCCATATTTATCCGGTCTCTGGTAAGGATCAATAGTCTCTATGGTACCAACTGAGGTAAGAGTACTTGAAATGGCAGAAATCGCAAAAAATCTTTTACCACACATTTTAAATGAAAAGTTTTTGTTAGAAACGAAACTGGCCACTACTCTACAAATAAGAACTTAAGTAAAACCAAATTATAATCATATCACATTTTTTTTTAAATTTGGAACAGCTTTGTTTTGTTTTGTTAATAGAGAATTGTCACTTTTAAGACGATTTTTAATCAAAATGTTCTCAAGTGTGGAAACAAATTAATTGGAACGCATGGTCCTATCAAATAGCCATCGCGCAGTTCCATATCTGACGCCCCTTGATTTTTACTTTGGGGCTATGTAAAATATTAAATTTATAAAAAAAAATACAACAGTGTTCAAGAATTGAAAGACGCACTTGCTCTTTGCGGAAGAGAGCGAATCGATGCATCCGCCAAGGCGGCAATCATTTCGAGCACTTACCATCATAGACTTTTTATGTTATTTTTGCTTTTCGTTATTGTTTTTATTTTGAAATACATAATACGTTGTCAATTTGTTAGTTCCCTTATTGTTAGTTTCGTTAACTACCTAGAATAACTGATAACTAAATAGGTCCCTACAAAATGTATGGTAAAAAGTTTTTTGCAATTTCTGACATTTAGAGTACTCGTACCTCAGTTGGTCCCATAGATACTATTGATCCTTACCATAGACCGGATCGAATGACAAAAAAAAGTTTTGTAAAAATTGCCTTTTATCTTGCTGACCGTACCATTTTTTCA